TGGAGAAAAATGTAGAACAAAATTCTAACTTACAAAAACAGACCAGACTTACTGGCCTGACAGAGACTGGAGAAACCCTGAGAGTATGGCCCCTGGACACCCTTTTAGCTCAGTAATGAAGTCACTCTCGCGGTTCACCATTCAGCCAAAGATTAGACAGCCCCATAAAACAAAACGAGACTAATGGGGCACAACAGCCCAGAGACAAGGACTAGAAGGCAGGAGAGGACAGGAAAGCTGGTGATAGGGAACCCAAGGTTGAGAAGGTTGTTACCCAACGTCATAAAACAATATGTGTGTATTGTTTAATGAGAAACTATTTGTTCTGTAAACCTTCATCTAAAGTACAATAAAAAAAATTAAAAAAAAAAAAAAACAGTTATTTACACTCTGAAGCCCAGAGTGCAAATAACTTCATGCTGAATTTTAAAACTTTGCCCTATACATTTTTAAAACAATTTTAAACCTTTGCTTCAAACAGCAAGAACTGGGTAGGACAGAAAACCCTCCCTGAAGATAAACCTTTCACAGTAACGTAAGAGTACATGGATATCTTCCCTTTACACACTAACCACTACTATTTCAGGTGAGAAAATGGAACAGAAATGCAGTCTGACCCTTTGATAGACAATGTCTTGTATGGGAGTTGGGTGAGAAGACTGCTCTGAAACTAAGTCTCTGAATGCAGTGAAAAGAATTTGGAAATGGACACATGGACTCAAGTGCAAATACTGTCTCTGTGTGACCTCTGACAGGCTTTTTACTTTCTGTACATCGTAGTTTGCTCAGTTCTCAAGTGAAAATATCTGCTTTGTATGGTTATGTGAGAATTAAATTAGATGCCTCCGGAAGAGCACCTAGCATGTAGCAGATCTTCAATAAACCGATATTTTGGTTGATATGTTTTCAGGGCTTCCTGGGTGTTAAGTTCTGGGCTCTATGGTTTCAGAGTTATGGTGGAATGAAAGTATGGGAAATAAAATGAACTAGAAGACTGGGTGATTCTCGTGTAATCTGAGTAGGAACTCAACCATCTCCATGAAAAATACAGCCAAAAATTACAAAAGGAGGTGGTGTTACCAAAGGCACAGACTTATAAAAGTGAGGGAAGAAGGATACAACATTTTCAGAGGAGGGGGGCATGCTTAGTGTGGAAGGAAAGGAAGGAAGTGGATTGGGGGTGGAGAGGGTGGGGTTAGGGTACTCAAGCAGTGGTGGAGGAAGGACCTCAATAAATGCCCTGAGGAATGAGGGCTAGGAATCCTGGAGGAATCCTGGAGGATGAAAAGGTGTGAAAGGAATGTTACCGCCCCTGGTGGAAAAAGGTGAGAGGTCTGACAGAGAATATGATCAGAGCCCCTGTCAGCACTTTCAAATGCCTGTTTCCAAATGAATAACAGATTTTGGCTATACTGATTCAACTTGCTTAGGGAAGTTTCAAAAAAACTTAAAAAAAAAAAAAAAGTTACCCATTAACTCGTGGCCCAAAGGCAAACGCTGTTAACATTTTAGTGTACTTTCTTCCAGTTGTTAAACATACATATTTACCACAGTTGTACAAATTTCATATCTTTTTTACTCAAATGCTTATATTTCCCATATCAATGTCATTAGACACTCTTTTAAACGTGTTTGCATAATTAGTCCTTTGAAAGGATACATTCCAATTTACTTAATCAATACTTTGTGGTTTGAACATTCCGGTTGTTTCCTTTTCTAATTCTAGCATAGGCAGTGTGGCAATTAAGATCATCAAAATAACTTTCAATTTCATAAAATCATAGACTCCTCTTTTCCAGGAGGGATTTAAGTGGACATCTCTTCTATTCCAGTTTCGAGCAGGACAGCAAGGAAGCCAGAGAGAAATTGCCAGAATGAAAGACTAGACAAGGACTTTGAGAGCTTACTCAGTTACTCTCCTACATAAGGATCTCTGGGTGGTGCAAATGGTTAAGCTCTTGACTACTAGCAGAAAGGTTGGAGGTTTGAACCTAGAGGCTCCTCAGAAGACAGGCCTGGCTTTCAAGGTCACAATCTTGAAAACCCTATGGAGCAGTTCTACTCTATAACACCTGGGATCACTATGAGTCAGAATTGACTCATGACAATGGGTTTGGTTTGGGTTCCAGGAAGTGTCCTCAGAGCGAACAGCCTTTTGAGGACCACAGGAGTGCATTAAGGAGGAGTTCTAAGGGAGGGGGCTGACCAGCAAGACAGCTGAACCAGCCTGTGGAGGTGCCACAGTCAGAAAACTCTTCTTCCCAAAGCAGTCAGTCTGAGGAACTTCTTTCCCCCTGGCCTTCTTCTAGGTGTCAATAATTTTATTTTAGTTGATACTCAGACTTCTTTGGTTCCGCCAAAATCTGTTATTCATATGGGAAGAGGCAGTTGAAAGTGCTGACAGGGGCTCTGATCATATTCTCTATCAGACCTCTCACCTTTTTCCACCAGGGGCGGTAACTTATTCCTTTCACACCTCTTCATCCTTCAGTGTCACCTCCAGGATTCCTAGCCCTCATTCCTCAGGGCATTTATTGAGGTCCTTCCTCCACCACTGCTTGAGTACCCTAACCCCACCCTCTCCACCCCCAATCCACTTCCTTCCTTTCCTTTCCCTAACAAGGGTGGCTGTCGTTTGAGTACTAGAAATCCTACTCTACTCTCTTCTGTCCATTTTCTAGTTCAGTAGTTCTCAAGGGAACATTTTGAACACTATCTGTGTTTTGTAATTACAGTGATGGAGGGGGGCGCTATTGACATGTATGGGCAGGGCAGGTGTGTAAGATATTCTTTAAAGCATAGCCTGCACAATGAAAAATTGTTCCTCATCCAGATTCTCAAATGTCCCCCAGGGCATTCATGTAGGTGAAAACCTGTGTTTAATTATCTGAGCCTAGAATTTAATATAGTTTTTTTTTTTTTAATGGTTTTAATATACAATGAACTTTCTAGGAATGCAATTACAGTTCTCCGCAAATTTAGGAAAGACTGACTTTGCTACCATGAGTTGTTCAACATTTCATTAAATCATTTCATTGATGTCAACATGCTGGAGGTAGTTGAGTCACCAGCTCAGCACCTGTATCAATCTGCATGTGTAGCAGTTCCTTTCCCTGGATTCTGTGGATAGGTGTAAGCATCTGCCTACCTCATTATGACTTCCTGGGTAGTCAGGCCTCAGCACACACATGTTCAAAGACTGTTTATATTACTTTACTACAAATGACTTTTCTTTCATTTCCACCTTTTACAGTACTGATAAGGAAGCATTTTGAATTTTTCAAAAGTTATTTGTGTAGGTAGGTTGTATCACCTATGAATTTCAATAGGGGTCATTACGAAATATTTGTTATAAAAAAAGGTTGAAGGTAGAGAACCTCAGTTCTGTCTCCGCTCCCTGCCCAAACTCATGCCCCCTTAACAACAACAACAACAACAACACACACACACACACACACACACACACACACAGAGCCTCTGTGAGCTGTCAAAAGGCCTGCACTTCCCCCACCCTGTCTCTAGAGCTTCCACTTCTCTATTAGTCAAGAGATATTGATTACTAGGCCCCGTTGGAGTGTAGAAGCTAATATTGGCTCCTGTCCACCTGGAGGTTTTCTTCTCTTGCCTTCCCCCGCCCCTTCTGCATCAATTTCTCTCCTTGATGTCCCTCCTTCCTCTTTTTGCTACCAACCTTCTCTCTCTGTTCTCTTCACGGAGCAGGCGAGCGTCAAAGCTGCTGGACCTATGGAGCCGCTCTGGTCTCCCAACTCTCTCGTTGCCCTACCCAACTCTTCTCCGGCCTAGGTGGCTCCCGGCCTCTCCCCATCTCACCCCCCACCCTTCTCTGTCAGACTCTGGCTTCTCCTTGCTCTCCCACCACCTCAGTTCTTCTCCTGGCCTTAGGCCTCCGGCTTTCTCCTCTCAGCCCATCCAGGGCCGCTTTCTCTTTGTGCAACCGTCTTTTCTCCACCTGCATCCATCCCAGACTCCCTGTCTCAGTGCCAGCTCGTCTGTCGTTGGCTCGGGTTCTCTCGCCCCCAACCCAGTTTTCCCAGCTGGTCCCTGACGATGCTGGGTGCCGGTCCGCTGTGCGGTCGGTGGTGCGTGTGCCCTGGTGCCCCCTCCCTCCCGCCGCCCGCCCCCGGCACTGTGGGCGGTCCAGGGCGGGGCCGGGATCCGGGGCGGCTCCCGGGGCTCGGGATGTGGGAGGCGCCCTCTCCCCGGTCTCCCCTCTCTTCCCCCCGCCCTGTCTTCCCCTGCACCCTCCCTTCTTCCCTCCGCCCGGGAGCTTTCCCCGTTGCCCGGCGCCGCCTCCTTCCTTCCCGGCTCCCGGCTCCCGCGGCAGCCGCCGCCCCGGGGAAGGAGAAACGGGGGTGGGGTCTGAGGGAGACAGAGAGGAGGAGAGAGACCCCGGCAGGGCTGGAGGCCTGATTCTAGGGGAGGAGGGTCGGGAGGAGGGGAGGTGGAGGAGGGGGGAGGGGGAAGCCAGGAGGAGCGGCCGGGCCTGGGGCCTTGAGGCCCGGGGAGAGCCCGGGAGCCGGGCAGCGCGCCGAGGTAAGCGCAGGGTCCGGGTAGCAGGGCTTGGCGAGGGCTCGCGGGGAAGGCCGGCGAACCCTGGGGCCAGAGCCGGGGGCATGCGGGGCTAGGGGCGAGGAGGAACCGCGGGAAGGGATCCGGGAGCGGTGAGGCTGCCGATCCGGGGAGCGTGGGTAAGCCGGCTCCGGCGAGCCGCGGGGGCCGGGAGAGGAGGTGGTGAGAGGTGGAGTCCCGGGAGGGTGGGGGGCCGAGGGAGGCAGGAGGAGGGTGGGGACAGGCGTCTCTCCTCCTCTCCCCCACCCCTTGCCGGGCTCCGCCCCCGCCTCCTCCGCTGGGTGCTCCTCTCAGCCCCCGGCTGAGACAGGTCCGAGCCCGGGAAGAACCGGGAGGGAGGCCCGGCCGCCTCGCGGGTCAGGCCGCGTCGGCGGGGCTCTGTCTGGTCCTCACGGCCGCCTCTCACTCAGATGCTGCTGCTGCTGTTGGCGCCGCTGTTCCTCCGCCCCCTGGGCGCGGGCGGGGCGCAGACCCCCAACACAACCTCAGAAGGTGCACCCTCCTCCGGCGATCTCGGGCCCTCCTCCTCCCCGCTCACCCCTTCTCTGCACCCCCTCTTTTCTGGTCCTCATCACTATCCCATCAGCCCTGCATAGTATCCCAGCCGACACTACCTGGCGAAACCTGGTCCCACGTTACTACTCCTGACCTCCTTTCCATCACCCCACGTTACTACTCAGCACCCCCTTTTCCTTTGCCCCACATTACTACACTAGGCCACCTTTCCGTGATCCCACATTATTGTCTTGGCCCCTCTCCCCTTACCTGGCGCCACATTACTATCTCAGTTGCTTGGTTTCCCGTTGCTGCCCGGGTAGCCTTATAAGGCCCCCCTCTCCTCTCCTCCTAATTCAACTGAAATATCCTCGTTTAGCCTTTCTTACCAAGCTCCACCACGTATCAGGACTTCTTACTTTTCTTCATTACCCCCAACCAGCACCCTCTCCTCTCTACTTGCGGGTTCGTTCATCAGCCTTAACCCTGGCCTTAACTCGCTGTCCTTTAGTCCAGGGCTCTGAACCAGTCCCGATTCCCTTCCCTTAGCACCCCACACCTCCGCCTTTGTCCTCAGCCTGCCCACTGACCACACCCTATGCTCCTGGGCCTCCGGCAGCTGACTCTGCCTTTTCCTCTTTCCCACCATTCTTTGCACTCTTACTGGACTGATCCCTTAGGCTGCCAAATCATACACCCGCCCTGGGAAGGGGGCATCAGGTACCGGGGCCTGACTCGGGACCAGGTGAAGGCTATCAACTTCCTGCCGGTGGACTATGAGATTGAGTACGTGTGCCGGGGGGAGCGCGAGGTGGTGGGGCCCAAGGTCCGCAAGTGCCTGGCCAACGGCTCCTGGACAGACATGGACACACCGAGCCGCTGTGGTGAGTAAGCTCGCAAAGCCCTCCCTCTTCTGAACCATTCCTCTTCCTCCTCAAACTTAGCGTTTGCCACTTGCAAAGTCAGCACTTTAAATCAAGTGTAACCGAATTCACAAATGCATTTATTGAACAATTACTGTGTAAAAGGGACTTGGTTGTGTGCCGTCGGAATTAGCAGATAGCAGCCTGCACATTTAATTTCATTCTCTCTTTATTAGGCCACTGGCAATTTGATCAAATAACTTCTGATTATTCATTCTGTGAGTTATTCTCTTTGAGGATTATTAGTGTCAGATTGAGCAAAAAAATTCTAAAAGGATTATATCACATTTTCACATATTTGACTCGCACCCAGAGACTGTATCCCTAGGAAGCAAAAGTCAATGTAATATTAACATAAGCTAAAGATAATAAGAAAGGCAAATCTGATTGTGCATCCAAAGTCATCTACATCCACACATTTCAAAGCCAGAGAAACGCCCACTGTAGCCGACTTTGAATGGATCCCATTTTGTGTGCTTATAGCTCCATCTTGGGTTCCTACAATGGAAGTGCCTTTTCCCTTTTTTTCTTTTGGGAATGTGTAGGGTTAAAAGAAATGTGGAAGCTAGGGAGGTGAATCATTTTTACACCTGATTTCCTGCAAAGTAGATTGCTTGTGGACCCAAAACCCAACCAAAGCCTCCTCCTTTCTAAGCGGAAGGAGACTCCTCCAACTTGCCTGTTTTATTTGCTTATCTCTCCACAGTCCGAATCTGCTCCAAGTCTTATTTGACCCTGGAAAATGGGAACGTTTTCGTGACGGGTGGGGACCTCCCAGCTCTGGATGGAGCCCGGGTGGATTTCCGATGTGACCCCGACTTCCATCTGGTGGGCAGCTCCCGGAGCATCTGTAGTCAGGGCCAGTGGAACACCCCCAAGCCCCACTGCCAGGGTGAGGGGAACAGCTGCCTGCATGCAGCTGATGAGGACGCTTGTGCGAGGATGGGAGTGGGGTGGGAATGGATGGTTGGAAAGGAAAGGGTGCTGTACAAAATGTGGGGGGGAGGAGTCTTTGGGAGGTAGAGGTGAAAGCCTACCTCTTTTCCTCCATCCACCTGCCTCCAACTTCTTCCTGCAGTACTGGTTTCCACTTGTACTATGCTGGGGGCTTCCTTCTTTTACCTTTCTCTGATTATGTCTTCTCCCCACCCCCAAGTCTTGGGCTTCACATTTTCTTTTCCTTTATGGCTCTTACCCTCCCTAAGGTTTTCCCTAACCTCAATCCCTTTCTCTAAACTTAGAACTTACTATGCATCACTCTCTTCTAGAATTGATCCCTCCTCATTCAGTAATATACCCCGACCCTTTCATTATATTATTGACTTATTGTAAAGACTCAGAAATAAATTTTGTGTCATATTTAGAAAAAACTGATAAGATTGGAAACGAGATCTGGGGGTGGAAAAGTATCATGGTAAAAAGCCCTAAAATTGGAGGCAGAATTGGCCCAGCATTAAGGACTGCCCACGGGGTTGGGGAAGAGGACAGTCCTTTTTTGTACCTCAGTCACCTCCCAGACAACTTCCATCATTCCCATTGGGTGTTGTGTCCTCCACCATTTTTGCCTTCTAGTTCCACAAACTTCCCCCTTTCCTGAACACCCAGACTGTCTCCGTCTGCTGTCCCCTCCTCTCCTGGGACACTGGCATCCCAATTCTTTGTCTCTATCCTTGTAGACTCTCAGGACTGGATTTCCTTAATTAACTCAGCTATTTTACTTCTAATATACCATTCGGTTCTGGAAATTGGGAATCCCACCCAGGGGTGGATTTACTGTGAAGCTAATGAAACTTAAGCTTCAGGGTCTCTTACTTACACCGGCCTCTTCCTGTGTTCTAATAATGGGGAGGAATTGAACAATGTGCTCAATAACAGGTTTTTGTAAAATTTGCTAAAGTAAGATATTTTTAACAGCCATTGGTTAAAACCAATTACTATATAGTTTTTTTTTTAAAGAGAGGTTCCAATTTTTATAATCTCTGACTCCACAAAAGGAGGACCCGCTCCTGCCTTAGCCTTTGGCAGTCCTGTCCCAAATTCCGTTGTCCCATGAAAAATAAAAGAAGAAAATCAATATGTCCTGACCCCCAGCCCCACCTTGCTCTTATCCCCAGGCACCCTCCCCTCAGAAACGCAGGCTTCTGCTGTCCCGTCTTCGGCAAGGACAGGTGTGGGAGGGGGCTGGGGATCAGTCCAGGGAAGCTGGGCGCCAGTGGTAACTCTTCTCTGATCCCGTCTTTCCTGCTGCCAGTGAATCGAACGCCACACTCAGGTGAGATGAGAGACCCTTATCGCGTGCACTGCAGTCCCCTTACCCCTCACTCTTCACCCTCCACCCCCAGGCATTCTGGTCCTAGGCTGTGGGGTCCCATCCATCCCCCACCTTCCCTCCACCCCAGTTGGCGGCCTTTCCCCTCTCCCTACCTGCTTCCTGCCTCCAGTCCCGGTTTTCTGCGGGGCTGCGGTTCCTCCCATCTCCTTGCTTGGCTGCTCTTGCCTCGGCTCCGCCTCTTCCCAGACTCAGCTTCGCTGCCAAATGGCAGAACCCCAGCAGAGGGCGGCAGGGTGCTGGGAGACCCCGAACTTCAACCCCGTGGAGTTCTTTTCTCCCCCGACCTTCTCTGGAACGTTTTCCTGGCTGCCCTCTCCCTAGGGTTTCACCTAACTACTCCATCAGCCCATCCCACCCATCTCAACCTCGGCCAGGCCTCTCACGCTCCCTCCTTCCGCGCCTCTCCGAATCTTTTCCTTCCTGATCCCTTCCCCTTTTTCTCAATTCCTTCTCCGATCACCCTTTCTCAGTCTCGGCCTACCCTGCCCCAAGTTCCCTTTCCCTATTGCTGTCACTCCCCTCCACACCATTTCCCCTTTTCCCCCACTCAACTCTCTCTTCCTCAAACCTTCTCTCCTTCACAACCCTCAGTCCTTCACCACATCTATCTCACTCCATTTCATACTCTCCGCGGCAGCCCCCTTTCTCTCGCGTCCAACTCGGGTCCTTTCGGTCCCTGCTCCTCGTTGTTCCAGCCTTTCGCGGCTCCCTCTGCCCACCCCGCCCTCCTGGCACGCCCCTTCCCCGCTCTTCTCCTCCCCTACTGTCCCCTTAGGTGAGACCCCTCCCTTGCGCGTCCATTCCTTTCTCCCACGCTGTTGCTCCTCTCTGGTCCCCTCCCCTCCCCTTTGACTGGCGTCGCTGCTCAGCGCTCACCTCCCTCCCCGCCCCCTTCCTCCCTCCCCCTCCCTTCTCTGGCCCGCCCCCCCCCGCCGCGCGCCGCCGGTGACGTCTGAGTCCCCTCCCAGCTCCACATCTCCCTCCTCCTCCGCCCCTCGGTCGGTCAGTCAGTCCGCGAGGAGAGTCCGCGGTGGCAGTGGAGCGAGCGGGAGCTGCGGGGGCCGTAGGAAGCCAACCTTCCCTGTTTTCCCGGGGCCCCAGCCCCCTCCTCCCCACCAAACCAGGGATGGAGGCGACTCCTCTGCACCCATTTAGCAGCCCTCCCCGGGAAAAATGTCCCCCCTGAGCTCCTCCCCCTTCTCAAGCGGCTACCCCCGCCCCCCAACTATGGGTCCGGGGGCCCCCTCCCCCCGGGTGGGGTGGCCACTGACACTCCTGGTGGTGATGGCGGCGGGGGTGGCTCCAGTGTGGACCTCCAACTCCCCTCACCTCCTTCGGCCTCACCCGCGGGTCCCTCCGCACCCCTCCTCAGAACGGCGCGCAGTGTACATCGGGGCGCTGTTCCCTATGAGCGGGGGTTGGCCCGGGGGCCAGGCCTGTCAGCCCGCGGTGGAGATGGCGCTGGAGGACGTGAATAGTCGCAGGGACATCCTGCCGGACTATGAGCTCAAGCTCATTCACCACGACAGCAAGGTAGTCCTGGACTTGGGGGTTGGTGGGAGATGGGGCCTTGGTGGGCAGGGGGCCTGCCTCAGTCGGAGTCGCCTCTGGGCTTTTGAGGCAGACCCCTCCCATGTGTGACTTTAAGGAACATGGGCTGGGGGTGTGGGAACTCGGGGAGAGTCGCAGGGGCTGGTGGTTCAAGATGAGGGGGTAGGGGTTTAAGATGGTTAATCATGTTGCAAGGCAGACCCTTCATTCACTGAGAGACCCCGCAGTGAATGGAAGAGCTGGGGTTTGGGGAACTGGTAATAGATTTAGGGTTCCAGCCAATGCTGTTCTGGGGGAGTAAACTAACCCGGGAATGGATTGGGGGATGGATAGACTGTCAGAGGTGGGAAGCTGGATCAGGGGTTTACATTTACCATGGTAACAAGGTAAGTCTTGGCGTAGGTTGAGACTGGAAGGAATAGGGACAGAATGAGGAGAATTTTGAGGGACTTGAGTGCTCTTGTTTATTTATCACAACTGTGAGCCCTACCTAACTCCTTCTCATTCCACCAACCCCAGCCCTGTTGAGGATTCCTGGACTGTGGGAATATGTGGCACGTGGTGGTTGGGGAATGTTAATGGTCAGAAGATGGGCAGAGGCACTGGGAAAATGGATTAGATTAGGGGTCCCAATGGGAGTCCCCACAATAGTTTGGGGATAGAGAGGAGTCAGAATATAGGAGAAGAAAGAGGGAGCTGAGAGAACCAGAAAGAATGTCAGTGGGAACCAAGGAGGAGGGGGTGGGGATAGTGAAAAATCCAGGGGCATCCTTCCTATGCAACTTAGGTCCTGAACTTCTCTTATAGAATTATGGCCTCTAGGATGTGAGAAGGGAAATGGGATATAGAGTTAGGAGAGGAAGGAGAGAGGGAAAATGTAAGAAAATTTGGGTCCAGAGAGGGGGATGATCCTGTAATTAAGATTCCTTCCCTATCCCTGTCCCCTACATGCATAATTGAGGGTATAGGGAAGGATGTGGCATAGGGAGGGAAGGAGATTTGGGACCTCAAATTGATTGTTTCTGACAGATGACTCCAGAGACTTAAGGGATTGGGGAAGGGTGAAATAGAGTACAGAGGTGAAGGCTTGGTGATTTCACACCTGGAGTGGACTGAGGATTAATATCCATTCTTTAGAACAACAGTATAGACACAGAAATAGGTATGAGAGTGGGGAGGGGACAGAAGCAGGGGTGAAGATAGAGTGCTTGAGGAGAAGAGAGTATAAGGAATGTTAGGGGCTTGAAGAGAGAACTTCAAATCTCTCCTGCCTCCACAGTGGTTCTTCAACTTCAGTGTTTATTGGAATCACCAGATGAGTTTGTTAAAATCATAGATTCTAACTCCTTGGTCAGAGATGAGTCCCAGGTATTTGCATTTTTACTGAGAAGTCCTGCCCCGGCAGATGCCCTGGTGGATGCCCCAGGATGTCTATGGGGAGAGCAGCGGAGTACAGAAAGGAATTAGGTACAAGGGGAGGGGAAGTAGATAGGGAAATAGAGGGTCAGAGATGTTGGAACGGTCAAGCTTAGGGAAGCAAGAGAATTAATTGACCCTGGGGGTGGGGGTGTGGTGAGAGAGACAGGGAGAGATGGGTGCAGGCTCTGTGATAGGGGATCACAGGGAGATAGAGGAGCCCTGACTGTGAGCTCAAACTCATCCACCATGACAGGTGATTCCCTGGAGGTGCTGGGGGAGCAGATGGGGGACCTGGGCGAAGGGAGCTGGAGGAAAAAATAGCAGAGGCAGCAAGGAGGGAGGATGGGAAGGCAGAGGAACTGGGATGTGTCGTTTCCTGCCTGCAAATCCAGATCCTTGCTAGAGCAAAGGGGAGGGGGAGAACAGAGGAAGTCCTGTGGTCTCCTGTACCCTGGATAGGTGGAGGAATAGGGTGTGGAAGGGGGAGAAGGGTGCAAGAAAATGTAAATAAGTTAGCGAGCAAACTAAGACATTGGAGCAGCATATACATTGCCCTGCTGTACATATATGTTCTCATTGTATTTATCAACTTTTTCATGAGATAAGAAATGAAGGGGCACTGAGGGGGCTTGGGAAAAGCTGGATGTGGAGTAATGGGTGCTGGGACAGTGCAGAAAGGTGGGACCAGCCCTTTGCAGGGGTGCAGGGGTGGGGTGGGGACAGGGAGGTCCAGGTGGGGGTTTGTTTTTGCAGACTCTGCCAGCCTCCTCTGGCTCCCTCCTCTCCAACTTCCCACGGTGTCCCAAATGTCAGGCCTCAGTGGGAGATGAGCAGGCTCTAGGGGGGCTCGTTTATTTCCTTTCTATTTGTCCCATTTCACCCTCCCCAGTTTCCTGTCCCTCCTGTCTGTGTCCCCTCTGCCCTCGCTCCCCACTGGCTTCCATTTCTTCTCCACTTCCTTTGGGGCTCCAGCAGCTTCTGAAATGTCAGACTTCAGCAGGAGGGCAGCTGGTAGTAGGAGACCCATGGCTGGCTCTTCCTCCATTTCCCCTCCTCCCATCATTCCTTTCCTCTAGCTTTCTGCATTACTTGCTTTCCCCATGTCCGTGCCTCTCTTTCAAGCACTCCTAAATTATTCTATTTATTCTCCCCAGGTTCTTTCCTCATTCTTGATTCTTTTCCACCCCCACCCCTTAGAGTGTCTTCTTTTTTCTAATGGACCCATCAAATGTCAGGGCTCAGCAGGAGGGGATGGATCACTGAGCAGGACCCCCTACTGGTCTTGTTCCTGTTCTCTCTTGTTTACTTATCACTAGCCCTAAAAAAAGAAGAGGGAGAGAGGACTGGAAGGTGGGGAGAGGGAGTTTGCAGAGGTGAGGGAGGAATTTTCATAATGTGGCTTTGAGGAAGCTGCCTGGGGACTTAGAGAGAGTTTTTTCCTATTCCTACAGACTCCCAGCCACAGATGTTTGGGGCATAGAAGTATGGGATAATGGGCAGGGGTGATGGAGGGAAGATAGACTTGGGGATGTCTGAGGATGAGCCAAAGCGGGGAAAGGCTATGTATGTGTTAGTACTGAAAGAGAGTCATGCAGGAGAGGATGTGGATTAGGTAGCTGGAAGGAAGAGAAGGGCGTTTAACAAATGAGAAGCAAGAAACTTCACAGGAAGAGATGTTAGGAAGAAGAAAATGGTAATAATGATGAAAGGCTTTCAGCAGAGAGATGGGTAGTGGAGTGAGGAACTCTGCTGTCAGAGAAGCGTAAAAGAATAGGAGTTGCAGGGAAGGGAGGGGTCCTAGGAAAGCCTGTTCTCATCTCCTCCCTCCTCATTCAGTGTGACCCAGGCCAAGCTACCAAGTACCTGTACGAGTTGCTGTACAATGACCCTATCAAGATCATCCTAATGCCTGGCTGCAGCTCCGTCTCTACGCTTGTGGCTGAGGCTGCCAGGATGTGGAACCTCATTGTGGTAAGCAGAGCCCAGGAGATCAGAAGGTGGGGCTCATCCCTTTTGGGCAGTACTGAAGGAGGGGGCAGGGATTGCAGGTGTGTATTTGAGAAAACTGTGGAAGGTAGGACCTGCTGCTACCAAGATTCAGAGTCCTTTGCAGACTCTAGCCAGTTGGCATCCTAGCAACAGTGGCCTGATAGTGCTGCCGATAACCTCGTTCTTCATCAGAAAGGATTGAAGTCAGATCAGTGAAAGAGCATCCTGATAGTGAGGAGTGTGTGGGCCTTTGAGAATCACTTTTCCTGGGGCAGAAGAGGGGAGGTTTGGAGAAGTGGGGGACAGAAGCAGGAGAGGGTTAAAGGAACTCTTAGCAACGTGGAGTCCATGAAGAATACACCATGTTGCATTATTCTTGCCCCTTTTAGCTTTCGTATGGCTCAAGTTCACCAGCCCTGTCAAACCGGCAGCGTTTTCCTACATTTTTTCGAACTCATCCATCAGCCACACTCCACAACCCGACTCGTGTGAAACTCTTTGAAAAGTGGGGCTGGAAGAAGATCGCCACCATCCAGCAGACCACCGAGGTCTTCACTTCGGTGAGGAGGGATGGGGTAAAGGGGCTTCTACTCAAACTGTAATGGAGAGATGTATGACACAGGATTCATTTTGTGGGGAAGGTCTTGATTCTTTATAAAGAAAAGAATACGTTCTGAATGGGTTAAGTGCACATTCTTTCTGTGGCCAGAGGAATGAACAAGTTACATTTTCGTGATCCTTTTCAGCTTTTTAGTTCTATGATTTTTTTTTTCCTTTTGACGCGCTGTCCTCCAGACAGATACACCCAAAATGATGCGCTCTATTAAAGTAGTTTCACTCCAAAGTTGAGGCAAGAGAAGGGAGAAACTATGAGATAGGAACCCAGGAAGGTAGCAGATTCTAGAGACACTTAAGAGGGAGGGTGGGTGGGTGTGGATGGGAACAGAGGGAAAGGAGCTATAGAAATGGATATGGGAGAGAGACAAGTACAGGTACATGGGTCTGATAGTTGAAGATGTTGACAGACAAGCAGAGGTTGATGGGTTGATAGGGAAGGAGAGATTTGTGGAGGTAAAGAGAGGAAATACATGGCTCTACACTTGAAGAAGGAGTCTATGGGTGGTGTAGACTGTTAAGAACTCAACTACTAATGGAAAGGTTGGTGGTTTGAACCCACCCAGAGGTGTCTTGAAAGAAAGTCCTGGCAATCTACTTCTGAAAGATCATAACCATTGAAAGACACTGTGTAGCACAATTCTACTCTGACACACATGGGATCACCATGAGTCAGAATCGATGGCAACTGTTTTTTTTTTTTTTTAACTCTTGAAGAGGGCAGTCTGCTCTTTCCATTTTATTCTCTTCTTTGGGTCCTCTATCCACTCTTATGTTCAGTGGCCCTTTAATCCTTAATCCACTTTCTGTCTGTGATTCAGGCTACTCTTCTCTGATCCTTTTGTTTATCTGCCCACTTGCCTCCTGACGTCTTTACTATCTATCTCTACCAGACCCTGACTCCTTTTCTTGGTTCCCCTATGCTTTCCCTCATTGTTGCTGTCCGTGTTGAGAGTGGGGTGGATGGGGTGGCTTCCTGAACACAGATCCTCCGGAAGGGCTCACCATGTACCCTCACACCGGAAAGCCACATCCTAAGACTCCAAATGCTTCCTTCCAGACTTCTTCCTTTGTGGAGAGAAGCTTTGGAGGAAGGTTCTGAACGGCTGCTTCTTTGCCCTGAGTATTCAATCCCCAGTTAGCATCTCTGGCCCTTACTCCATCGTCACCCCATGTTCATCCTACTTGTTTCTCATTTCCACCCAAGACTCTGGACGACCTAGAGGAACGAGTGAAGGAGGCTGGAATCGAGATTACTTTTCGTCAGAGTTTCTTCTCAGATCCAGCTGTGCCCGTCAAAAACCTTAAGGTGGGATGGCCGCAAGGGTGGCCTCAGCCTGGTGAGGGGTAGGGAGAGCAGCAGCTGGTTGGAGATGAGCCAGGTGGGGGCAGGCTTTGATTCTGTGAGGCAGCAGCATCTCCTGGGGAAGTTTAGCTTCATCTTTGGGTTGACATTTATCCACTACCCATTGAATAGAACCCTGCACTAAGTACTCTGGGATGAGAAATAAAAAATATGAAAGCGCTTGCCTTAGCCCCTCAAGCGTTTCCAGTCCTCTCTCAGGAGCTCTGTTTCTCTCTCCACTCTGTAGCGTCAGGATGCCCGAATCATCGTGGGACTTTTCTATGAGACCGAAGCCCGGAAAGTTTTTTGTGAGGTGGAGTTGGAATCTGAAGAGGGAGGAGGATTGGGTGGGATCTTAGCCTTGGATTTCTCATGGGGTCTCCTCTCTGCATCCGTGCTTAAGGTTATAAATGATTGTATCTGAGGCGATGGTTAATATATCCCTATCTCTTGGCTCTGACTCCATCCCTCAACTTCTCATACTGGAACTTTCTCCAGATCTCATTTTCCTACTGCTCTGTTTCCTGAGGAGCCTGTGAATGCCATCTTTCCTGACTGGCTGGAAAGGCTACTCAGAAATAGAGGGACTGGGGAGGAACTTAGAAGGAGGAGTAGTCCAGCATTCCCTACCACCCACAAGACTTGTAGATTTTTCCTTTTAATTCTGCTACTCTTCTTTGATTCCCAAGGGGGCTGAATAGTATGAAATGAGATAAAAAAATAATAAAACAAAAATCCATGCCTCTCCCTCTCTGTATTCAGGTGTACAAGGAACGTCTCTTTGGGAAGAAGTATGTCTGGTTCCTCATTGGGTGGTATGCTGACAATTGGTTCAAGACCTATGACCCGTCTATCAACTGCACAGTGGATGAGATGACTGAGGCGGTGGAGGGCCACATCACCACTGAGATTGTCATGCTGAACCCTGCCAACACCCGAAGCATTTCCAACATGGTGAGAATGTGGGGACTCAGGGCTGGGCTGATAGAGGGGCCTGAGTGGGCCTTGCTGGGGAAGGGAGCAGGTATGAAGTTTGGAGGTACAGGATGGGAAGGAGGCTCTGCCTGCCCTATACTTGTTTGCCTTACGTTTTGTTTGGATTCCCACTCTACTATGGCTTCCTTGGGCAGAAGAGCAAGAAAAATGAAAGTGGTTTGTTCAATAGGCCCCGATGAGTGGAAGGGCTGTTGCCATGGGAACAAGGAGCGGTTGGTGAGAAGTCAAATGAGGGAGAGGCGTTAATGATAATATAGATGCTTGTCTACGCAATAAACACCTTTACAGTAGCGCTGTTTCTGGGCACAGATGCATTTTATTTTCTTGGTGACGCATGTTCTGAGTATTTAATAATCATTCCTGATTGCTACTCAGTTAGCTTGGATCCTGATGCTTTTTTGATGATTCTTTTTAGAATTTTAGATGTGAAAGGGACTTTTTAAATCATTTTGCCACAGAGAGCTGGCTAGTGATAGACCTGGTGCAAAAAGACAAATCTTCTGACTTGGGAGGACTGGGGCAGCCCTGCAGTTGAGGGACACAAGTGAGGTGGGGAGCATGGGGGTGGGTGGAAGTGGCTCCTTTATTACTCAGCATCAGGTCTTAAAGATTGCAAAAGTCTTGTGCGAAATTGATAGGGTATCTGCTTATTATACCAAGTTTATCCTCCAGGTCTGTAATACCTGCTTTGGAGAACATGATGGGGGATGGTGGATTAATGATTGTGAAGTCCCTGAATAGCTTATTAATAAAAATTGTAGTAATAATTGTTTTAGAGTCCCTAGATGGTACAAATGGTTAAGCGCTCTACTACTAGCCGAAAGGTTAGCAGTTTGAACTCACTCAGAGGTGCCTTGGAAAACCCTATGGAGCAGTTTTACTCTGCATGCATGAGGTTGCCATGAGTTGGAATGGACTCAACTGCAACTAACAACAATAATAATTGCTTTATGTAATAACCAGGAACTTATATACATGGTTTAAGTGATCCCCACAGCAGTGCTGTGGTATAGATTTATCATTTCCATTTTATAGACCAGGAAATTGAGGCTCAGAGACCTTAAGTTACTTGTTTCAGGTCATGCAGTTACTAAATGGCCAAACTGGAGTTCAATCCTAGTTGAATATAACTCCAAACCACTCTGCCCCATCACCTCCCATGGAAACTGTGAAGTCTGATTAAAGAGATTGGATTTTTATTTGTTAATACTGTTTAGCCAATGGCAGTTTTTGAGCAAGAGAGAAATAAGATTCAGGAAGTTTGTTCTGCCAGTGGATTGTGGGGGAAGGGCCAGTTACCGCGTAGACTCAGATAATGTACCCTGTCTTGAGACATTCTAAGGACACTCGATGTTTAAGGTATCATGGCTTTGAAAAATTCTGGAAGGTCACTTCCATGTACAGCATCCTTGAGGACTTGGTTAAGTAGTAGAGCTGGTTGCCGAAGCCAGAAAGGCTAGTTTGTGCTCTGTGCCCAGGGCCTGCCAGTCACGGCTTCTGCACCACAGCAGGGAAGTAGAGGAACCCTGACAGGAAGCAGGGACTTGGTTGCAGGTGCAGAGGAGGTGGATGAGTTGGAAGAGGTAGATGAGTTAGAGGGTCTCTTTCTGGCTGTTGGAGAAAGATAGTGCCTGCTTTCAAGGCCACAGGACTTTGAGTGACACCAGGCCACTTGGCAGGCTAAAATGCCAAGTGCAGAAGCCAAGAATTTCCAGAGGGTAGAAGCAGCCTTAACAATGGACTAGGGAAGAAGTTACATTACAGATGAATCAAACAGGACCAAGACAAGTGGTTCAGGGGTAGGGTTAGATCTAGAGGGTTCAGAGCCACAGATACTTAGAAGAGTTGTTTCTTTTGAATGAATTCTGCAAAGAATGGCCTTACATTTAGATCAGTGGTTCTCAGATTTTAGCTTCCATCAGAACCACTTCGCATACAGATTGCTGGGCCCCTCCCCTAGAAGTTCTGACTCAGTAGGTCTGGGGTGGAGCCTAAGGATTTGCATTTCTAACAAGTTCTCAGGGATGCTGCTGCTGCTGGTTAGGAGACCACACTTTGAAAACTATTAGTTTAGACCATTGGTTTTCAACTCTGGGTGATTTTCCTCTTCCACTCCCCACCCCCACACCCAGGAATATTTTGCAATGTCTAAAGACATTTTTGTTTGGAGATGGGTGGGACAGAGACACTACTGGTGTCTAATGGGTAGAGGTCAGGGATGCTGCTAAACATTCTGTAACACATAGGACAGCACCCACAACTAAGAAGTATGTATCCAACTCAAAATGTCAATAGTGCTGAGGGTGAGAAACCCTGGTTTGGAGGAAGAGTCTTTAAGAGACAGATAGGGAAATGGAGACTGGATTAGGGTGATTTCAGCGAGATAATATAGCTCTGGGCAGAGCTAGGGATGGTGGGGAGCTGCATACCTGGGGATGAGTTGTGAATAGTTCTGATTTGGGGTAGAGGTCTGAGCAGACCTGGATGCAATACAACCAAAAAGTTAGCTCAGGATGGATACACATTTTAGATCATTGCTGGGCATCCATCCTCACATAGCCAGACAGGGCTGCTGAAAATTAAAATCATAAATTTGAACTCTGTTAATTCACTAATTTCTATGCGATATGAATTTTTTGGTTGTTGTTCAGTTTTCCATAAGCTGCATAGTAAAATTTTCCTTTGAAAATTGATGATTCTGTCTTTGCTGAACCAAGAGGGACTTCTTTTTAATAGCTTTAGTCATGGGAGGGGGAAAGTGTTGCTCCCTAGTGGCCAGGTATGGTAATGGTAGTGACCTGGATGAAGCGAGAATGAGGATCTGAGTGGCAGATTGCATCATGCTAAGCAGACTAATCCTTTCCCATCTGGGTGATTTTCTTATGGGGTGCTTACTTTGAACTGAAGGTTGGACACACCTCATGGCCAAAGGACCGTTCTGAACATCTCGGCCAAGCAGCTGGCTGCTGAGCAGGTGTTCTTGGAGAGAGGCAATTCAGCATACAGAGGCAGTGTAGAGTAGTTGGCAAGAGTATAGACGTCGGTGCCAGACTGCCTAGGTTTGAATCTCAGCTCTGCCACTCACTAGCAGTATAACTTTAAGTAAGTTACTTAACTTTTCTGTGCCTCAGTTCCCTAATCTCTAAAATGGGAATATTAATAGCACCTACCTCATTGGGTTGTCTGAGGATTAAATATGATGATATATCTAACTTAGAAAAGTACCTGACACATAGTAAGGACAATATAAATGTTGTCTGTTATTATTATTACTAATATTATTCTGTGTGGGGAGAAATGATATTAGTAAAGCATTTCAGCAAAAGAATTAAGAGGGCTTGGTTACAGAAAAGAGTCTATGCCGATTCCAAGGTTTCGAACTTAAATTACTGGGGAACAAAGATTTTTATTTATTCTTCATTCACCTATTCATTCCTTCGTTAGAGTGTGTGTGTGTTAAAACATTCCAAATCCAGATAGTGTTATTTGTGTAATGGCCCTGTGTATTACTCGTGCCTTGCCAAGAGGTGGCCACTGAACCTTTTCTTGTTGGGTTCTGGGAGGTTAGGAGTGGCAGGTGTGGTTCCTCCGTTATATGGAAGGCATTTCTAAGAAATTAAGCAATGTACCTATGGTTATTTGGCCAAATGGTAATTTATTTTGCCAAGTGTAGACCCATTTCATGACAAAATTAAAAGGAGCTACCATTCTTTTTAGATTTCTGGGGAAAAGAAGGTTGAGGGCTGGGCTTATGGAGGTAGGGATTGGAAGGTGGATTTCCAGTATGTGAAGGATATTTCTGCAGTCCACAGTCTCCACTGAAAACCTCTTAGATGCAGTGGACTGAGAGTACACCAGCATGACACACTAAAGAAAAGCTTCCTTGTTGACAGGAGGTGTGAGACTAGAGGGAGAGTGTGAGAAGGCTGTGGCTTTATTTTTTCCAGGATCTTTCAGAATTAGAAGAACTGTTAGGTCTTGAATTAACTCTGTTGAGAAAATCTGAAGGATGAGAGAACATCAGTGTAGAACATCAACTTTTCCTGGGAATATCCACGTCTCTTTCTTTGCTCTATCTCTACTTTTCATCCTTTACTATTCTCTATCCAAAGTATTTATTAATTAAGCTTCTCTCTGTTAGTAGTTCTGAACTAGCAGCTGTATAAATAAGACCACTGCACCCAGCTAATCCCTGCTCTAGTCTAGTAGCTTCCAACCTATGACAGACACATGGGTATAGTCAAGATTTTGAATGTACATACGCTCAACCTGACAATATGAACAGAAACTATCCGTTCAAGTCAAAGTGTAGGAGCTGGATGGAGAGGGAGCCAGAATCAGATGGCGACCCCCCTCCTCACCCACACATTCACATTCCAACCTTTTCCTCCCATCATCCCTCCACAGACATCCCAGGAGTTTGTGGAGAAACTGACTAAGCGACTAAAAAGACACCCAGAGGAGACAGGAGGCTTCCAGGAGGCACCGCTGGCTTATGATGCCATCTGGGCCTTGGCGTTGGCCCTGAACAAGACGTCTGGAGGTGGCGGCCACTCAGGTGTACGCCTGGAGGACTTCAACTACAACAATCAGACCATTACCGACCAAATCTACCGGGCAATGAACTCCTCGTCCTTTGAGGGTGTCTCTGTGAGTTACAGCAACTTCTTTTACACGCCCCGTCCTCCCTTAGAGGAGCCCTGGTGGCACAGTGGTAAAAGCACTCAACTGCTAGCCAAAGGTCAGAGGTTTTAACCCACCAGTCACTCCGTGGGAAAAAGATGAGGCTGGCTGCTTCCATAAAGACTACTGCTTTGGAAACCCTACTGGGTAGTTCTACTCTGTCCTATAAAGTCACTATGAGTCAAAATCTACTTGATGGCAATGGGTTGGGTCCTCCCATAGAGAGAGACTCCCTCAAAGTCTCATTCTCCTGGAGACATGCATTCTCTATTTCTCTCGGCTACCCTTCTGCAATAATCAGTCTCAGGCTAGGGGAGTAACAACCCCCAAACCAGGAAACCCCACAAAAGTCTAGAAGGAAAAAACCACCAGCATTTTCTGTTTCTTTAACATCTTTCTGCATTTCTTTTCAAACTATTCTGGATATTTATGAGTCAGATGAGAATCATAGAATTTTAAAAGAAGAAACAGTTTGAAAGATCATTTTGTTCCTTTTAAAATGGGAAAATTAGTGCCCTGCTGGATTTCGTGACTTGCTTAGGTCACATAGCCAGAAGCCACGTCTCCTGGCACTCTATCTGGGGATTTTTCCTACTCAAATCTCACCGATGAGGCTTCTTCTCAAAAGAATGATGTTTCTGAAATCTAGGGTATGGGCATCTGGGGTATGTCCTATATGCAGGCAAACACCATAAATAGCATTCATTCAGAAGCTCAATTACATCAAAAACATAAGGATTGAAAGAGTCCCTGATGTTCCCTTTTCTCTTCCGCTTTTATCCCCTTTGCCTTCTGACACATGTTTACCTCCCTCAGGGCCATGTGGTGTTTGATGCCAGTGGCTCTCGGATGGCATGGACACTTATTGAACAGCTACAGGGTGAGTGTGGGGGCAGGAGAGGAATGGAAGGGCAGGGTGTCAGGCTGGGACTGGGATAGGACCCCCATCTGGCAGAATACCCAGAGACATCACAAGTTTGCCAGGTGCCTCCTCCCCTTCTCTTGCAACTGTGTTCATCAAGATTTTTAAGTAATAATACTAAAAAGCTCAGCAGGGATATGTCTTCTTGAATTCAGTAGTTGTGTTCTTGGAAAGGAGCATGCAAATTGAAAATAGCCATTCTCTTTTTCCCAGTGAATTCTGTCTTAGTTTCCTAGTGGGTGGCTTTAAAGAGTGGAAGTTATTTTCTCACAGTCGTAGAGACTAAAAGTCCAAATCAGGGTCTCAGCCATGTTGATTTGTTCCTTGTTGGTAGGCTAGGGCATTCCTTGACTCTTGGTGATTCTCACATGCATCTGTCTTCCCCAGTATATACTTGCTTCTGTGTGTAATCCACTCTTTTTGTAACTCAGAAGTTATTAGGTTTAGGACACACCCTACATTGGTTTGGCCTCATTAACATAGCAAAGAAAACCCTATTCTCAAATGGGATTTTATATCCACAGTTACAGAGGTTAAATTTCTGACGCATATTTTGGGGGATGCAATTCAATCCATAACAGCTTCCATTTTAATTTCAGAAATTTCCCTTTGGCTGGGTTGGGTGGAAAGGTTATTGACCTATCAGTGCATATGTATAGACTCAAGAAAAGTTGAATCTAGGAAACTTGCTATCTTTTTAAGGGAATCCATTGAGTTTCCTTGCTATATAAACAATCACTCTGAATTTATAGTATGTGTAGTTTGACTTTTCTTTATTGTATTTTCATGAATGTTAGCACACTTACGTATCTGAGAAACTTCTATGAGTTAACTTTTCAAGTCCACACCCACTTGCGCCTCTTACAGCATAGCCAAGAGAGCCAGTTCTTGGCCTCCCATGAAAAGTTTCTTTCTCCCCTTCTCCACACCTCCCACATCCTCTCAGATCTTCTTTGTATCCAGAACAAGAGGAAATGGACTTCAGCCATGGTGGAAGGGGTGTGAGTTGGCTCTTTTTAAAGAAAAGTTATGGTAACTGGGGTAGCTCAGTTCTGGAACAGAAATCTTAGGAGTGACTGAATTGTACTTAGTGGCTTTTTAAGAGGCGTAAGTTAGCCAAGGAATTAGAACTCAAGCCAATGGAAGAAAGATTTCTAAAATTAAGGTGAAAGCCACTGGGAAAGTAGATCCTGTGATTCTGTCTATCATGAGAGGAAGAATAAGCAGAAATATATTTAAAGGTTTAGCAACAAGAATCAATGTGAGAGACATCTTGCAGAGACAGGTGTGAGGCAGGGGAATGGGTGGCAGACATACCGTGGAGCCTTCCTCACTGAAGGATTTTAAAATACATAAGATATTCTTTTTCATCTGAGTTGCCTTGGGAAGTACCTTACATTGCTTTTAAGGCAGGTTGTTGATTCACTCAACCCATCTGAAGTCCTGCCAAGCGTCCTTCAGGGGCTCAGTTGAAGGTAAAATCAGACACAATGATGGAAAGTGGCTTCAGGGAAATAGGAAGTGGAGAATGCCTAGGAGGGAACCTTCACCCACCTGTGGTCACTCCTACTGTTGTCATCTACCCAGGTGGCAGCTACAAGAAGATTGGCTACTATGACAGCACCAAGGATGATCTTTCCTGGTCCAAAACAGATAAGTGGATTGGTAAGTGGATTCTGTTCATATTTTCTTTCAGCTCCTCTGAATAACCCAGAAAAAGGGTCATCCATTTGAATGAGGGTGGCGTAGGGGGTACCATTAGGTTGGAATATAGCAGGGAGATGGGGCTTGGGCTGAGCTAAAAGAGAATTAATACAACCTCCAAGATGTGGGTAGGGGATGCTGTTGTATTCAGAAAGGGAATAGGCGGTTAGTAGCAATGTGCTATTAAACATAGTATGTTGCTCGAGTAACTGCGGATTAGAGGCAGGGGGTGCAAAGGTGGTGGGAAATGGAAACTCCATTTGGGTTTCCCAGATGTCCTGGTGCCTTGATATAGCTGAGTCAGCTACATCAAGCCTAAAGCTACCTGTTTATCTCTGTCAGGAAAAGAGTTGCTTAAGATATAGGAGGGCATGCAAGGCGTCATGTCATTATCTTCTGCTAAAATGTGCTTTTTAATGAGGGAAGTAAGCAATTGTTCCATGTGTACCTGGTGGATTAAATCATAGGAAATAGGAAAGATACTGAAGGTGGGCAAAAGGAAGGACCTATGGATAAAATGTAGTCCCCAGTGGAACAAATGGTTAAGCACTTGGCTGAAGGATTTTAAAATACATAAGATATTCTTTTTCATTTGAGTTGCCTTGGGAAGTACCTTACATTGCTTTTAAGGCAGGTTGCTGATTCAATCTACTTACAAAATATCAGCCATTGAAAAGCCTTCAAAGCATAGTTCTACTCTGACACACATGAGGTTGTTGTGAGTCAGAATCGACTCTATGACAACTGGGTTTGGAGGGAAGACTTAGCTGTTGATTATAGCTGCCATCTTCCCAGCACTGCTGGAGTTTCAATTCTTCTTTTTTCTTTTTAATTATTTGAATTTAGGACACTGTTCTGTGCTGCTATAAATGCTACATGGCCTAAATTACACTTTTTTTTTTAGTGAAGCAAATTGAAATTAATTTTTTTTTTTTTTTGGTGAACTCTTCAACAAGTTTGCACTTCCTCTTAATAACAACTGAAAACACCTTTGAGAATATCACCCTGCCAGGGTTAAAATCACAGATCAGTTTTTTTTTTTTTGGCTCAATGTTATGAGGCCAGACTAGATACCTGAAGACCCTTTAGCTTTATGATTCTATAATTGTCTTTTGCAACTTTGGATTTGGGTTATAAGAGACTTCATAAAATGAATTCCTCAGCTACCCACTTCTCCCTCCCATTCCCCTTTGGTAAAGAAAGACAGAAGAACAGAAAGGACACACAATAACAAAAAAATTCCTACAACTTTGGTGATGCACCTCAGCATTTCCCAACCTCTGGACAGAACATTTGCTCCTTTCACCATCTCATTTCTGATTGCTTCATAAAAGCCTCCGAGTCAGTGAGCGTTCCATCCACAATAGCCCCTACTCAGTGGAGAGAGGGCTCATGTGCTCAGAGTCAAGGATGACAATGTCCGCTAGCTCCCTTGTCCTTTGCTCCTTTCTCCTACCCCGTCTTCATTCCTTTTTCCTCCTTGCTTTCTCCTCCCCCCTCACTCTCCCCTGTGTCATGCAGGAGGGTCACCCCCAGCTGACCAGACCCTGGTCATCAAGACATTCCGCTTCCTGTCACAGAAACTCTTTATCTCCGTTTCGGTTCTCTCCAGCCTTGGCATTGTCCTAGCTGTTGTCTGTCTGTCCTTTAACATCTACAACTCCCATGTCCGGTAAGTTTCTCTTCTGTCTGCCTGCCTCCCCAAGTTAATGACTATGCCCTTTGAAGTTCCCTTCAAAAGTAGAGAAGAGAGTGAGAAAAAAACTTGGGTAACTCCTAAGGCCAAGTCTCATAAAAGTTTTCATTCTGACTTAGTCCTTTTTCTGTGACCACTGAATATGGAGGGGTGGGTGGGGAAACTAGATATAACCCCTATCCCTGCCCCCAAACAACTAACTGGAAAAAAAATTCCTTTGGGGCCAGGTAAGAGGAGTCCCTGAGTGGTGCAAATGGCTAAGTGCTGGACTACTAACCGAAAGATTGGTGGTTCAGATCCATCCAGAGGCACCTTGGAAGTAAGGCCTGGCCATCTCTTTCAGCCTTGAAAACCATATGGAGTACAATTCTATTCTGCATACATGGGGTTGTCACAATGGCAACACACAACAAGAGAGTCGTGGGTCCTGAGTAGCTTGCATGCCAGCAGGGGTCCTGTGCTGCCAGGAAGCCCTCTGCAGCTCCACCTCCAGCCCCCTGCCACAGCCAACTTTGGCTCTCAATGCTCCACTCTTGCTCCAAGCCTGTCTTTCTTTAGTCCTGTGGCCCTGAGTTTGGGGTCAGGCCATTGCATGGCATTCGGAGAGCTAAGCTTCCCTGAGGAGAGGGTTAATTCTGCTCTTTCTCCCTCTCCCACCCTCCCACCTCTGCCCTAGTTATATCCAGAACTCACAGCCCAACCTGAACAATCTGACTGCTGTGGGCTGCTCGCTGGCGTTAGCTGCTGTCTTCCCCCTTGGGCTGGACGGTTACCACATTGGGAGAAGCCATTTCCCCTTTGTCTGCCAGGTGAGGAGAGAACGTGGGCAAATACCTTGCAAAACGTGGCTCTTCAGTACCCCTCAGGAACACCTTCCATGATTTGTGGTTCCCTGCCCTTCCTTCTCCACTTTTCCCTACTGTCATCCCCATTGCTTCCTCCTAGCATCACCCCTCTCATCTTTGGTTTTGTCCCTTTTTTCTGTGCCTCCAAACCTTGTTCATTCTGTAGTTGATGTGTCAGTTCCAAGGTTGCCATGGCATGCCTTCCAGAGAAGAGGAGGGCAGTATTGAAGACAAAGGAAGGGGTGTGCTCAAAACCCCTGAACAATGATGGCCTGTCAGTGGTGTGGGGGCACAGAACCAGAACTATAGATTTCCCGTGGGACCTAGGGTTTGGAAGGATGGAGGCAGAGAGCTAAACCGACAGCTGTGGGAGTTGCAGGGAGGGGACCACTGGCACAGACAGAGGAGGGCCTCTGGGATACTTGGGACATGGAAGGCTCTGGGGTGTGGTGAAAGGCTGGCTTCTGTGCTCAGTAGTGATATTTGTTTGGTTCTCCATCATGCTTGTGGGAAACATGCACCCTTTTCTCTGCTTTGGCCCATCCTTACTCCCTCTCTTTCTTCTGCCCCGTGATTGTACTCATTGTGCATCTGTGCACATGGCATTTGCACACACATTCACAAATTATAGTTCAGCAGGAGTTATCTGTTCCCAATGAGACCCGAGTGTAGTGGGAGAGGCAGACGGCTATCTCCCGTACAGTCTGAGAGGTGCCAGCATAGGATCTGCATGAGGTGCCAAGGGAGCAAAGAAGAGAAAGCAGCTGATAGTCAGTGTTCAGGCGGCCCCTACAAAGGAGGTGGCATTTGAGTCTTGAAGGGTACATGGGAGTTTTACAGCTGGAGAAAGAAAGGCACAAGAGAGTGGATCAAGGAAACATGAGCAGTTGAGCATGGCTGGAGCATGGGGCTGGTAGGGTCTGGAAGAGGAGCCCGGATAGGTGGATGGGACCATGTTGTGAAGGGTCTGTGTCACATTGAGAGGTGTTCAGGCTGTAACCAGTAGGCATTGAGGAGCAATCAGAAGTGTTTGGCCACTGAAACCAGGAGGTTTTAACAAGATCACCTGGTAGAAGATGGATGGGAGAAATCGTTGAAGGTAGGGAGACCACCCGCTGTGGGCCTCCCCACCCCCCTCCTGTTCCCTCCTGACTGCTTTGTCATCTGTTCCCTGCCCATACTCCCCATTATGGCCTGGCCTTTGTCTGCCCATGCCCTGTCTTCTCTTCTAGGCCCGCCTCTGGCTCTTAGGCCTGGGCTTCAGTCTGGGCTATGGCTCCATGTTCACCAAGATCTGGTGGGTCCACACGGTCTTCACAAAGAAGGAGGAAAAGAAGGAGTGGAGGAAGGTGAGCTTCTTCGCATTCCTCAGCCCTCAGCTCCTGGGGGATAACATAGACTCCTGTGCTTAGAGGGTGTTCCCCTGACGTGCCTGTGCTCCATGTGTTTCCCAAGACCCTGGAGCCCTGGAAGCTGTACTCCACGGTGGGCCTGCTGGTGGGCATGGATGTCCTCACTCTTGCCATCTGGCAGATTGTGGATCCCTTGCACCGAACCATCGAGGTACTGCTTAAGCAGAGATGCTGGGGTCAGGAGTCTGAGCAGAGCTAACCCTGACCAGGCATGGGAGATGCGTGTCGTCTTGAGGAATAAAGTTAATCCATGATTGAGTGCTACCTAGCCTTCTGTATATCAGCAGCTCTTCCCCTCCACCTTCTAGGAGGGGCCTAGAGGCCTTGGATTCATCTGAAGAAAGGAAGGATATGGTGGGGATCTGCGAAAGATGTGTAGAATTTCTAGGCATCCTGGAAAATGGGGAACAACATTTGCAGTGTGTTCAGTAAAATGCTCTAGGCCTAGGGTGAGATTTGACATCAGGATTGAGGGTCTCATAGGAAGGAGGGGGCAGAGTTGGGAGTCAGGGACTGAGGAGAGTTGGGGAGGTTGGAAGAAGATGACAATCATCTTTCCTGTGGCCCTGTTTTTCCCTTAGACTTTCGCTAAAGAGGAGCCGAAGGAAGACATTGATGTTTCTATTCTGCCCCAACTGGAGCACTGCAGCTCCAAGAAGATGAACACTTGGCTTGGTGTGTGCCATGTGGGGGGTGAAAGAGAATGATGCAGCAAAGGCAGGAGGGGTGGGAAAGGATAGTAGGTTTGGAAGGTGAAGGTTCTTTGGGAAAGGAGGTAGAGAGCTTATGTCAACCCAGTTTGACGTCCTCCTCTTTGGCATTGCATGAATCTTCTGAGAATAGGGGAGAGTTGGTTTTTTGCTGTGAGGAGCTTGGGGGCCAAAGCTCAGATGAAGCAGAACTTGAGTTTAGCACAGGGACTGGAAGAATGACCTCATCCCTATCCCCTGATCTGACACCATCTCTGTCTGGTCAGCTTCCTAGAGTAAGACTGGGGTTGCAAGGTCATGGATTTGTGCCCCTTTTGATATCTGGCCAAAAATGGCAATCCTACCTTTAGCCTGGGAAGTCATCTTCCCACCTGGAGGGTAAGTGGCTGAGACTTTGTGTGTAACCCAGGGTGACACATTCCCAGCTGTTAAACAGGCCCTTGGCTGAGTGACAGCTGCTCATGACTATCATCTTCCTGTGTGAGAGTTGGCTCCTAATCTGAGGAGGAAGATGTGAAGCCTGGGCAGGTTGAGTGGATTTTGGGGTGGGGGTGGGCCCCAAGGAACACAGGGAAGGGTGTGCTAGGTCAGAGGGGCTGGATTGGAGAGGAGGTCACCCTTTCCATGGTGGAGCTATACCAAGGAGCGGCAGTAGGTGAACGATAAAGAAAGAGCACAAGGATCGAGTGGAGGAGCTGGGGAGATCCTGTTGCCCATGTGACACTTTTCTGCCTTCCTAGGCATTTTCTATGGTTACAAAGGGCTGCTGCTGCTGCTGGGAATCTTTCTTGCTTATGAGACCAAGAGTGTGTCCACTGAGAAGATCAATGACCACCGGGCGGTGGGCATGGCCATCTACAATGTGGCGGTGAGCTGCCCAACCACCTGGCCTTTGACCCCATGGGCTTACTACAGTAAACACCTGTGCTGGGCTGGGAGAATCAGGAGATCTGGGATCAGCTGCATAGAATTCTTTAAAAGTTCTTAATGCCTCAGATTTGTAAAGCACTTTACAGTTCATAAAGTGCATTACAGGCAATATTCCATTAATCTTCATGCAGCCACCCAGTCAGGTAGATGTTAGTATATATCCACTTTGTAGAAAAGGAAACAGAAACACTGAGGTTAGATTGCTTTTCCGTGGTCCACAGGCTGAAATATGGAATCTGAATGGAGGTTTTCTGCCTGTGTTTCCATTCTGCTCAGGTATCCCCAGTGACTGCTGAGAACTCAGGATGTGTGAATAGAGATCCTTGGAGTTGTTGCCTTGAGGGAGGGGTTGACCTAGAGTCGGGAATTGGTTTGGGACAATTTATATAGGATTCTTCTCAGTCTGGAGTTGAGGATGATCCTGAACTTGGATCCATTTCAAAAGAAATGGCCACCAGGAAATTGTCCTCAGAGACCTTCTACTGGGGGAAGAAATCCCTGGATCTTGTCTGAACCTGAAGAGCTGAACCTCCCCCAAATACTCTGTCCCTCTAGGTCCTGTGCCTCATCACTGCCCCTGTCACCATGATTCTCTCCAGCCAGCAGGATGCAGCCTTTGCTTTCGCCTCTCTTGCCATCGTTTTCTCCTCCTATATTACTCTGGTTGTGCTCTTTGTGCCCAAGGTGAGGCTCTGGGTTAGCTCCCACGCTCTCCAGTCCCATATTTTCTCTGTCCCTTCTTCCCAAGACTCTGCCTCCCTGCCCTTCCCCGCCTTCTCTTCCCACATCTTCCCTTGTTTTGGGCCCAGCTTTCCCCTCTACTTTTCATTCCCTCCAACTCCAACCCACTGCCTGCTGATTGCTGGCACCATCACTGTTCGGCCACCTCATGTCCCAAACAATTCCCCTAGATGCGCAGGTTGATCACCCGAGGGGAGTGGCAGTCGGAGGCACAGGACACCATGAAGACAGGGTCATCGACCAACAACAATGAAGAGGAGAAGTCTCGGCTGTTGGAGAAGGAGAACCGCGAATTGGAAAAGATCATTGCTGAGGTATGTGAGTGCCAGTAGAGTGAGGTGGTGGAGGGCCCAGGAGACCCCATGTTTGGGTCTGGTTTTCTGAAGCAGAGCCTGAGGTATGGGTTCAGGTGCTCATGATTTACTGAGGGGAGTTTCAGGGTTCAGGCGCTCATGATTTACTGAGGGGAGTTTCAGGGTCTCAGAAGCATATGTGCAAGGAGGTAAGTGGAGCAGGATAGGGAAGGGCAAGTGTCCAGTGAGGATTGGGTCTCAGGTTAAATCTAGTGTTAGGCTGATCTGGTGCCTGGGTTGGGGCTCTGGAGTATGACTACAGTACTGACTCAACTCCTTGAGGAAGGATGCAGGCCTCAAGCAGGGTTGGGAGGGGCCAGTTGTGAGTCTGTAGCATAGCAGCCAACAGTCCCAGCATGTGGATGGTGAGTGCAGTGCCCTGCCAGAGGAATCTGGGTGGGCATCCATATGTCCACTGCTGTGTGCACCTACCTTTCTCCCTTCCCTCATATTCTCCTTTTTTTTCCGCTTCCCTCTTATTTTCTCATTCACATTTCTTTTACTGGTATCCCCATTCTGTTCTTTTGGAATTCCTTGTTGTTTTCCTATTTCTCCTTTTAATTTCTTCTGTCCGTCTACCCCTGCATCTCGCCCACTCCTTTTGCCATGCCATTCCTCCCTCTCCCTCCTTCCCGCCCCTTCAAAACTCCTGTCCTCCCACTCTCTCAATTGTTTTTCTTCCTTCAGAAAGAGGAGCGAGTCTCTGAACTGCGCCATCAGCTCCAGTCTCGGCAGCAGCTCCGCTCCCGGCGCCACCCCCCGACACCCCCGGACCCCTCTGGGGTCCTTCCTAGGGGCCCCTCTGAACCCCCTGACCGGCTTAGCTGTGATGGGAGTCGGGTTCATTTGCTATACAAGTGAGGGGGGTGTAAGGGGGACAAGCCAGTGGGGGAGGGCAAGGGAGGAGGTCAGGGGTGGTGGACTCAGGAGAAGCAGGGGATCCTTATCCCCAGTGGGGAAGGACATGCTATCCAATCCCATCACTTGTAAATATGTGTCCCTCTGTGAGCCCTGGTGTTACCTATGTCTCCAATACTCTGGGAAACAGACCTTTTCTCTCTTAGTCATTCACGTAATTTTCTGTCACTGCTTTGTAATTTACTTTGCACCTTGCTTGAAGCTACTGACTGACTCCTCAGCGGCCTCACTACATCCTTCTCTTCTCATACAGCACTCCTGTCTAGTTACCACGGCAACTTCCCAAGCTCCCTTACTTAGGGGTCTCCCCCAAAGTGCGCTTTCTACCCCAAGAGGGCCTCTCATTCCTCTCACCGTCGTCATCACCTTCCATCCTACTCACCCCTCTGCATATTCCCTAGTTTTATCACCTTGATTTTTGCTTCTTTTGGGGACTCATTCTTTGCGCCAGGGGTCACGTGCTCCTTTCCTTCGCTCTGTGCATGCTCAAGCTTCCAACACACATGCTGTGTCCCTGTCTTTGTTCCCACTGGACATACTCAGGTGCACACGTGCTGTTCACATGTGCTACCGGCAGTCACATGTGCTCTCTGCGTACCCTCCATGCATAGCTACATGTGCTCCTCATGTGGTCATGGGTGTGCCCTTGTGTGGTCATGGATGTGCCCTCATGTGGTCACAGGTATATCCTCGTGTGGGTTTTGGTAGGTGTGTACAATTTCTTTAGCATGCTCAGTGATATTTTCCCTACCCACACATCCACGTGTATCTGTGTACTTCCCTACGTACCCTCATGGTACCTTGTGTACCTTCTTCCCTTTGCACCTCAAAATCATTGTATTTTTCCAACAGAGCCATATGTGCCAGCCTGGCACCTTGTAATGTACTTTTCCCCAATTCTTCTTTGCTGGGGCCATCCACTACCTGTTTCCGCTCAAACTTGTCTCCTCTCTTCTTTGTACCCATGTACCACTCTCAGTCTACACACACAATCACCCTCTCCCAAGATTGCTCCCTTTGGTTGTGTGATTTTTGGTGGGGGTGGGGGCTGAAGAAGGCATGGGGGTAGTTTTGGGGAGCCGCTGTGAGTGGATAGTTGGTGAGAATTCTGACCAAAGGAAGGCACCCCTGACTGCTGGGATGGATAGGTAGACCTATGGGGCAGGTGGTGGTGTATCTTTCACACTGTGGAGTCTCTTGGGGAAGGATCTCCCTGAATCCTCAATAAACCAGTGAACAGAATGACTCAGCACCTCGTCCTCCCTCACTGTGAGCAGAGCTGGCTTCAATTCAAGGAGGGAGGGATAGAGGGCTCCAAGTTAATGTAAAGGCATTGAAGTGGAGGTTTAGAAGGAGGGGTTTTATTGATCCACTGAGGGCATAGCAGGGCAAAATGTGACATGATTAGGACTGAGAGTAGGAAGTGAGGACATTAGTGGTTAAAAGCGTGGGCTCTGGAGTCAGACTATCAGAGCGTCAGACTCCCCCATATGTGAAAAGTCCTCTAATCTCTGTTTTCCTTGTCGTCCTCTGTGAAGTGATCCCTGGGTGTCACGAACAGTTAAGCATTCAACTAATAGCTGAAAGATTGGCAGTTCAAACCCACCAAGAGGCACCTTGGAAGACAGGCTTGGCCATTTCCTTCACAAAGTTCACAGCCTTGAAAACCCTATGGAGCTGTTCTACTCTACACACATGGGGTCACCATGAGTCAGAAGTGATGGCAAGTAACAAGAACGTCTGTGAAGATGGGGATAATAATGTTAATAATAATAACATCAGCAGCATCTTCTTGCATAGAGTGGATATAAGGACTAGATTAATTATGCATTCAGGTGCTTAGAATGGTGCTTGGCCTGTGGTTTTTGTTGGGTGAATATTGCCTGCTGTCACTGTTGTTTTATTCCGAGTTGTCTGATAGTGATGGTCACATATCGAGAGCCTGGAACATAGGGCTGAACAGATGTGAGTATTCTCCTTTCCAGGAACTAAGAGGGAAAAAAAAAGATAACAACTAGGAGACAGATAAGAGTCCTTCCAACCTTTAAAGTCTTTCTCTACACACTTTGGGCATCTTGGAAGGAAATGGCTATCAAAGTGAAAGAAAGTATTGAATGGCCAAAGGAGAAAAAACTTGCCTGGGGCTTTTTATAATTCTTTGCATCCTCTTGGAGAAGTGCTTTTTTTTAAACTTTTTCTTTTTTTTTTTTTAATTGTGTTTTAGGTGAAAGTTTACAGGGCAAATTAGTTTCTCATTAAACAATTAATACACAAATTGTTTTGTGATGTTGGTTGCCAACCCTGCAATGTGTCATCACTCTCTCCTTCTCCTTCCTGGGTTCCCTGTTTCCATTCGTCCCATTTTCCTATCCCTTCCTGCCGTCTCGTCTTTCCTTTTGGGCTGGTGTGCCCATTTAGTCTTGTATACATGATTGAACTACAAAGTTCATTCCTCACATGTGTTATTATTTACAAGTGCTTTTGTTTTTGAAGTCCAGCTCTTCTTTTTCCCTTTGGCACTGACTTTTAAGTGATTCTCACATTTTTTGCAAGAGAGTTGTAAGGGTTGGATGGGCCCCCTCATTTCATCATCTTGTTTAAGAGCCAATTTCTCAAGTTCTATTAGAGCATGAGTAGATTACAAGCTTAGATCAGTACTTGAAAACCATTCCACTGTGTTTATCTACCTTAGACCAAGGGACTTAATTTGAGTTTCCTTCTCCCACTGTGGAACATTCTTTAGGAAAGGGCAAGAGGCCCGTGTAGTAGACAAGCCCGCAATGTGGAAAATGAATGGTTGGCTTCAGATGTAGCAGCAGGAGCTATACAGCTATCCTGGGTAGAAACTGAAAGACCAAAATTACCAACTCAAACTTTCTTTGCCACCTGGTGGGGTCTAAATTATAAGCCGAGGGTCAGAAGTTCTTCTGTGACCCAGGATGAGCCAGACATTCTTTGTGGTCAGGGAGTGCAGGAAACGAGTCAAATGGCAGGGATGACAAGACCCCTGCTGCCTCAAGGATGTGTTGCCAGGTGGGAGACCACCCCTCAGAAAAAATCACTCAGAGTGCTGGGAGGAGTTGCTTCCCTTGGCACCTGTGAGGCTGGCCTTCCCCTCTCCAGCCCTGCCAAATGGTTCACCCTTAGGCTTTAGATCTCTTTCAGACTTTGACGGCTTACTTGCCCCAAGACTGCATATATCCAGCAGGCACCTTAAAATGGGGAACATCAGAGGTGATACATCCTGCTGAAAAGGGCTGCCCTTCCTCACATCCTGGATTCCAGACTGCCCTCCAGGCCCAGGTGCCCCCTGCTCTCCCTGAGGTCGGCCTCTTACCTCTCTGTCCTTGACTTACTCACTGCTAGAGAGCATTTAGTGAGTACTTGGCTACCATGTTGTTTTTGCTATCTTTTCAAACAATCCACAGGCATTGATTAGAAACCTGCTACGTGGCAGGTGCTCTTCTAGACGCTGGGGCCAGAGCAGTGAGCCAGGCAGGCTTTCATAGGACGTAGTTCTCAAAGTGGGAAGATGACCATAAGGAGGTAAACAAATGAGACAGCTTAAGAGAAGAATCATGAGTGTTGGGTATCTATTTGTCAGGGTTCTCCAGAGAAGCAGAATCAATAATGTATATATACATATAATATATACATCTGTATGTATATATACATACATATAATGTTGTTTGTTAATCAGGGTTCTCCAAAAAACAGAACCAATTGTGTGTGTGTGTACATATATATATATGTGTGTGTGTGTGTGTATATATATACACACACACATGTTGTGAGGTGCTGTTGCGTCATTTCTGACTCACAGTGACCCTATGTACTGGAGAACGAAACACTGCCCATCCTGCACTATCCTCACAACCATTGCTATGTTTGAGCCCATCATTGCAGCCACTGTGTCAATCCATCTCGTTGAGGGTCCTCCTCTTTGTTGTTGACCTTCTACTTTACCAAGCATGATATTCTTCTCCAGGAACTAGTCCCTCTTGATAACATGTCCAAAATACGTGAGAAGAAGTTTCACTATTCTCGCTTCTAAGGAGCACTCTGGCTGCACTTCTGACTTCTTGCTTAGTTTAGACACATCCTCAGGAGAGACTAATCCCTGGAGAAAGTCTTGGTAAATGCTTCGTTAAGTAGAGGGTCAGTGAAGAAGAAGGAGACTCTCAGTGAGATGGACTGACGAGGTGATTGCAACAATGGGCTCAAAGACAGCAACGAGTATGAGAACGGTGCAGGAATGGCCAATATTTCACATTTCATTCTGTAGTACATATAGGTTGCTGTGAGTCAGAGTTGACTTGACGACACCTAACAATAAACTTTGGTTTTTTGATCTATAAATTGAGGGTAATAATTCCCCAAATTATGAGATTGTTAAGTTGTGGCAGAATGGTGTTCGTTGCCCCTTTAACCTCTTCTATACCTCACATCACTCAGTGAGGATGGTGCTTTCTGTACAAAATCAATCAGTGTTGTGCTGTGAGTGACGATCCATGTCAGCCCCTGAGAGATACTTTGTCCTGAAGGGAATGGCTCTGAGGAACATGAAGATCCAGGCAGATGGGATTTGCTATCCCTGTGCAAGCACTAGGTGAAGCGGCAGAATAAAGCTGAAAATTTGGGGTTAGGGGTAGATGAGGCAAAGGGATGGAGACTAAGGGAGAGTGAACACCTCGGTGCCCTTGTGAGTTGAAGGTAGGGGAGTAGTACAGGGATATCTAAACTACCCTCTGGACTGTGAGTGTACTCCTGACCAGCCAAGAGTCCACAGCTTTAAATGGGGAATCTAATCGTAGATCTTCCCTATATTAAGCTATTTCTCCCCCAGCACACACTCTGGGTGTGATGAACCTGAAAAAAACTGACTCTCACAAGGATTTGCAGCCCACATTCACGTCACCTGGGTGGTCCACAATGGGAAGGCACTGATACTGTATGTCCGTCCATCCACTTTGGGTGTGGGCTGGGGTATATAAGGGTGATATGAGATCGTGAGTGTGAAGCACTGAGTTTGGAATATGGCAGATGTACAATGACTGTTCCTTTTCCTTCTCAAGACAGAATACTCTGGTGTTAAATGTCCTGAGCCTTGGAATCACACAGACCTGGGCTCATATCTCTCAGCATGATCAGTTTCCCTCTCTACTAGCTCATTCATACCTGTATACACACATGCTGTAAAATCTCCCATTGAAATAAAACTAATTAAATCAAAGCAAAATCCTGTAAAAATTGATCACTTGATCCCATATCTCCCTCCAGCTACTGCCCTATTTCTATGACACTCTATAGAACAATCCTGAGTCTATTCTCTCACCTACCATATTGTCTTCTAAAAATGTCTAATTTTTATTTGTATTAAATGAATATAGGCACGTAATTTAAAAAGTCAAATACTTCTACAAGCCTTGTTTTGAAGACAGCCATCCTCAATCTTCCATGTGCCCCATTTCTTGAACTCCAGAGGGAACTACTTTTAGTTGATTCTCTTCATGTTATTTCTGTTTCTAAATAACATACTTATACTGCTCATACTGTTTTTCAGCTTTATGTATCTATAATGGATTATCTCTCCTTCACACACTCCTATCCTCCAACATAGTTATGTTATACTTTTAATTATCTAAGTGTTCCGTGTTTATATTGTTGTTGTTGTTGGGTGCCATCAAGTTGATTCTGACTAATAGTTACCCTATAGGACAGAGTAGAAATGCTCCATAGGGTTTCCAAGGCTGTAATCATTACAGAAGCAAATTGCTACATCTTTCTCCTGCAGAGCTGCTGGTGGGTTTGAACCGCCAACCTTTTGGTTAGCAGCCAAGCACTTAACCACTGTGCACCAGGGCTCCTGTTTACATTATTATTGCCATTTAAATACTATTAACAACTGAGCATTTAGTAGACTATGATTACTTTTCCTTTCTTGAATCAAATTTATTTTCCCTGGAATTGAACATCTTGTTCCTTTATTTGCTTAGTTT